AAAAAAAAAAAAAAAAAAAGGAGAGAGAGAAAAAAAAGGGAAAAAAAATCAGGATCTCATTACTAGAGCAACAGAGCGTCTGCAGAAGACTGTCAGCATGGAGAACCGGGGGATTTTACCCAGCTCCCTCTAAAGTACCAGGAGAGAGCGGAAAAGTCTCTCAGCCGCTGGGTAGGTACAAGTGCTGCTGCGCCCGCCCCGGCTCCCGCAAAGTTTCGGGGGGCTGCGGGGAGGGGAAGGGGGGGCCGGCGGCTGCTGCGGGACCGGCGCCCCGCTCGCTGTTGGGAGCGCGGCGGGGACACCGCGGGGGACACCGCGGGGACACCGCGGGGACACCGCGGGCCGGGGTTGAGCAGCGCCGGGGGCAGCGCGGGGAGGGGGCTCGGAGCCCCGCTCGGAGCCGGGGAGCCCAGGGGTCCTGCCCCGGGGTCGGGCCCGGTCAGGGCGGCGGTAACGGGGCAGGGGGCGGCGGTCGGGGGGGCGGGACGCCGGAGGAGGCTCCCGCCGCCCCGGAGGCCCCCCGCCCAAGGGAAGGTTGCCCCGGGGGCCCTGCCGCCCCCCGGGAGCTGCGGGTGCAGGTGAGAGGACGGAGCGTGTAGGGGGTGAGGGGGGGCCGCGGGAGAAGGGGCCGGGATGTGAGGAGGGGCAGGGCAGGGCAGGGCCGGGCCGGGCGGGGGGCACCGCGGGTCGGGGGGAGCCCCGGGACTCCGCGCCGCCCCGCAGCCCCTCGGCGGTGCCGGCTCATATCGTGCCCCCCTGCCCGGCTGTGCCCGGCCGGCCGTGCCGCGGGGCTGCCCCGTCCCGGCAGCTCCCCGGTGACGGCGCTGGGGCGGCGGGGGCCGCCCGGGTGCCTGTCACGGCAGCGGGGGCGCCGCGGGGTCCCCGGCGGCGCTGAGAGGCCGAGCGGGGCCGGGGAGGGCGTGGGGGGAGGGAAAGGAAGGCCCCTGCAGAAACTGCAGAAGGGGCTTTAAAAAGGAAAAAAAAAAAAAAAAAAAAAGTGTCGGGAGAGTTTCTGGCTTGTCTGGAAACAGCAAGACTAATTGCCATGCGCTTCCGGTTTGAAACTGGCAGCAGACAACATCTTGAAAATGAGTCACTGCAGCTCACAAAGAAACTCTGTGGTTTTCTCCCTCTCAGGTTTATGTATTTGCTCCTTTTTACAGTTTCCTTTGTAGTCTTCTGCCTTCTCTCCGGCCCTTCCCCCTCCGCTTTCCTTAGCCACCTCCTGCCCCTAGACCCCCTTGGCCGACGTGGATAGTTTCCACGACCAACTGAAAAGAAAAAAAAAAATCAACACAAAAAAATGTTTGTAAGGGAAGGAAAAAAAAAAAAAGAGACAGAGAGAAAGGGAGAGAAAGTGGAGAGTTGTTGTTGGATCTGGCTTTGCTGAAGGTTAGAGGGACTCTGATGCTGCAGGGGGAAAAAGTTCCCCGAATTTTCCACTGGCTGCAGGAAGAGAGCCCATTTAGTCATGGCTAAGTAATGTCTGCACACACACCAACTAATCTCATTAGGAGTTTCCGTTCCCTAACACAGGAGGGTTTTGTGAAGCCCTGTCAGCCTTTCTAACGTTGCAGTTGAAAGGGAGACAAGTTACATCTTTATTTACTTAGGGTTGTACTGCTAAGACAATTTTATACAATGCAGCATCTTTTCGGTCATGAGGACTCCAACTTCAGAAATCAATGGTTACATTTCATTTCAAGTCGAAAGTCGTGGTTCATCTCCAATTTTGCTCATACAGACTTTTCAATTATTTTGGATTAATGTAATTTATCCATAAATATTTCCATGGGGTGAAGCACATAAATGGGGTATGCAGAAGGCTGTATTATGAGAAACATGTTCTATGCATCTATGACAATTGTATGTAATTGCAAGATTAAAGGACTTTTGAGCCAGGATACTGAGGTGAATATTCACTCACGTAGCCTTCCTGTGTTGGTGCTTTACATGTCTAATTTTCAAGTGATTTTGTACCCACCACTTTTAATTTAGTGGTTTGTGTAATTATTTCATGATGATTTATTTTCATAGCCGTCATGAAAGAAGTCCATGTTCAGAAATAAAAAGATTTTTGTCATGTCCCACCAAACTTTTGGAAAAAAAAAAAAAAAAAAGGAAAGAAAAGCCTGGAGCAAACAAAGAAAATGGATTCTTGCTTGCAAATGGGTTTTAGCTAAAGGAAATGTCAATAAATGTGAATAAAATGGTACATAACAGGAAATAATACTTAGCTACTTAATTGAATTATCATGTGATAGCATTAAACTAGCAAATATTATGCAAAAAAGTAGTACTTGCAGTATACCACGTGTTTACTTTTGAGTATCTTCAGTGTTTCCTGTACTTCCTATGTCCAAGAGGCACAGAAAAGTTCTTCATTAACATCACTTTACAGAGGACTTTTATTAGTGGATTAGTGACACAATCTCCAGACACAGATGCCTCTTGATTTTCTATCCAGTTAGTGAAGAAGTTTTAGAATAGTATACAAACCAGAAAATGCCTAATCTGTTTCAATCAAATGCACTTATCACGAAGTGAGATATTTTTTTTTCAGTTTAGTAGATTAATTTCTTTTGTAAAATTCTAAATTTTAAAGAAAGAGGTGCATTATTTGGTGTAATGCTCAAAAGTCTGTTGAATACGTCATGGAACAATTAGTGTGGTCTACAACACTAGAATTCTTACTGAGGAGTGTTTCCTAGCTCTTATTATCTCTCTTTGAAATATGGATATTTAATATGGATATTTAATTGTCCACTAACTGCATTAAATATTGCTGGAATATCAGTGTGCCATCTACTGAATCAGTGTAGATGAAGCATGCACATACATACATACATACATACATACATATATATATGTAGTGTATTCACACAAATTTCATATATTGTGTTCACTCAATTTAAGTATAAAACATCTTGATGTCCTATAGAAAAACAGATGTGGTGGTAGTGTACTGGTTGTGTGCTCTGTAAATTTGAAAGACTGAATGAGAAGTAATCTGTAAATGTTTTAAAAAAACAACAGTTCTGTTTGAAATAGAAAAAAAATCCAAATATCATATAATGCGTGATAGTTTCCACTCAAATAGTAAAAAAGTAGTAAAGGTGTTTTTACTGTAAGTATGATTTTATTCTTTACCTCTTTTAATTTACAAAGTATAAAAGTGTATGAGAAGAATATATATTATCTGTTAAGTGTTCAAATGCTATCATCATTGCTTACATCTTGTGTTTTCAAATCACCTTTGTTCCTAAAAAGAAACAATCTAGAGGTTTATATCCTCTCTGATATCACTGATTCCACCTGGATGAAACATCTGAAATAAGCAACATGATCTCAGGGAAGAAGCTCAGCTACAGCTTTCCTTGTAACTGTTTATAACACTATGCACGTGGACACTTTAATATGTAGAAACAAAAACCTATTTTGTTTTATTCACTAGCAGTTCTCACTGCTTACCGATTCACAGTGGTTCTTTGCTCCTATTGCTTAACGTTACTTCATTAAACTTCAATCATGAAAAGAAATCAAGTGTTTGACCTGAAAGACTGAGGTATCCCCTCTTTGCTGTGCAGAAAGTCCAATTATGTAAATTTTACCTACTTGTTGTAATGCACTTCTTAGGATGGAGGCATTCCTATGACAGGAGTATCCTTAGGGGCAGGTATTAATAATCAAGTGATCACAAATACTGATCAAAAACTGGTTCTGAAGAACTTAGCACGGAATGAAAGTCAATTTGCAGGTTCATCAGGGTGCCTGCAGCTTGTTGCTTGCTCTGAGGCTCATGCATTAAAATGTAGGAAGGTAGGTATACATAAAATGGACAGGGAGGTCCATCAGCTGTATAGAAAATACAAATCTTAGCCTTGAAAATGCAATCACATGACAACATGTTACTTCAGAAGAAAGAAATAGGTGCCAAAATAAACAAACATTTGGCTGCTGAGGATAAAGGAGCATGGGATAAGAGTGGAAGCACCAATGCGTGGTTATTGGTGATGCATGTGTTTATAAAAAAGTATTTTAGCTAGTGTGTCTTGGTGATACCATATAAAATTTTTAAGCTCATGTGGTTACCATTATCTCTGTGAGTGGTTCTCTGTCATAGTGCTAGATAATCTAAGAGAGCAAAGAGCTGATAAATTAGCTGCTACTTCCCATAAAGGTATGGCAGGTTGGACTCACTTGTGCAGTTGAGGTGATTTATCAGTCCCTGGTTTTCTTCTGGTGGAGGTGGCTCCAATGCGCAGCATGTTGCTGCCGGAATCCATTTTGGAGCTGTGACACTGATTATAGGACAGTTAGCCTGTTTCAAAGAGTGCTGTTGGTTTTGAGCTGCTGTCTGTCTTTGGTAACCACACGCAATGGTTCATGCCACAGGCTGTCACTGATGGGCCTGTGAAAGTCGTGTTGCGCTGTGTATCCCGGGATTGATTCACCGTGGCTTTCTCCTCAGTGTTTCCCACAATAGGGAATCTCATAGTCTTGAATCATTAGGCAGATGTTTACTTTGTCTGTGGCGTGTTAAATGAATCAACAAATATCTGGAGGCTATTGAGAGCTCTTGAAAGACAGAATATGTCTGTTCTCATGTTGAAGTATTTTGTTGAATAATGAATGATTAATGATTCAGTCATGATTTTGAGCAGAATGTCAAGGTGTAGGCACAGGAAGTCCAGCTCATCACATCACAAAAAACAGGGCTGCATGGATGGAAACAAAGCAGATGAAGCACAAAGTACCTCTCATCTGTGCACTTCACAAGAGGAAATTCATCTTTGTCCTTAAAACTTTCTTTGACTCATTGGGGTTTTATATGTCAGTAATTATATCAGAATTCAGGTTCCTAAGGGTTTGCTGTTAAGAGTGGATTTTAATTCAAAAGGTCTTTGAAGGAGACATGCTGCTTTTGTACAGGCAAGAACTAAAGAAAACACCTGCCATAAGCATTGATACAAAAATATCACAGAGGCACTACCTGCCAGTTAATAACCGTATAGTCTTTCTGCATTTCTAATGTTGTCTGAATACTCTGGCAGTTTTTTGCAGTACTAAAAAAGTACATTGGAGCTGTTGATCTACTTAATCAATGTAATTCATGTGCTGAACAACTAAATATTTAAGTAATATTTTATATTGCAGTTAAGAACATCAGA